CCAACAATTAACGTTGAACTGCGTGACCAGTATGGTACCCTGCTTACCAGCCAGAAAAAGAGAGATGGCATTTTTTTCAGTTAATGAGTGTTAGATATTATATTGAACAGTTCATATGCAGCATCTCCTTTAATACTCAAAGAGTTGTTCAATTACTGTACTCATTTTACAGATGAAAAAAAATGAGATTTAGCCAGGTGGTAATACAATTTGCTGAAGATTATAATATAAATGATAGAAGTGCAAGTATCTTCGCTAGGTTCTTTCACCCAGTTATTCTCCGCTTAATCTCTCTGCTGTATTTTGCTGTATTACACAAGCCTTCTTCCTATGGAGGGATCCAGAGAAAAGCTCAAGCCTTCATCAGTTAAGTCAGATTGTTGGGTACCTGCACTGCTGTAGGGTTTCACCCGAGAATGGCCCCAGGAGTGAATCTTCAAGGATTGTGCCTGGGTCCCAGCGATGCCTATTAATCAATCAAAACACAGACTTACTAAAATACTCATTGTTTAAAGAGTTGATACCCATCTACAGGTACCCCTCTATAGGACAGTTAGTAAGTTACCTTTTAGCTAAAATGCAGATATGGATATGTAAAATTCCTGCCATATTTTCCACTTTTTAGAATATTTCCAGGAATTTGAGTTTCCATTAGGATCTTAGGGATAGTTCAACTAACTACTGAATCTTGAGTTCTGTGTATTATTGTTTGAGAGGTGTTACCACTTTTACTTTCTTCTCTATTTCTGCTGATTACACATCTCATAAATTATGTTTTTCCTTTTGACATCTGGATCAGAGTTCATTGTACCTGATTAAGGAAATTATGCAAACATAGCTGCTCTAAGTGTCCCCAGCAGGGTCATCCCTCTCCTATTTATGACTGGTTAGCTCTATTACACTTACATCTTTTTAGTCCTGGTGTAAGAGGTAAGCATATATATGCTGCTTTTAAAATGATATATAATGATGATCAAATTAAGTTGAGTATTGAAAAACTATCATTTCACTGATTCAAAATACATTTAAAGTATATTCAGTTTGTATACACCATATTAATTTTGTGATTAAGAAATTTTAATTTTGGTATGACTAATTTTTTAGTAAGTCTGAATTTTTAAATATAGCTTAACTCAACAACCATTTTAGTTAGGATTTTAAGATTGAAAGAATATTTCTAACTACTTGAGTCTGTTAACCATAAAGCCAAAAAAATCTCTTTTTAAAAATTTACATGTATATTTAACATAGGAAGAACTAAAGAATTAATCAATTTGTTATTAATAAAAATTATAGCACATACTCCTGTTTTAGCAGCCTTTTTCAATATGTTATACTATCTGCTACTCTCCAGATAGAAAAATAAATCTTGGAAAATCTCAAGAGTGTCAAAAATTGTAGTTGGCAAGAAAAATGCTTCAGATAAACACCTCAAATTGTGTACTCACTGTTTTAAAACTGATCTCATAGAACTCTCTCCTGGATTTTTAATAATATTTTGACTAACATTGTACCCTATTTCTAACAACTTCTGAAAGTAGTTTAAATGTATAAAACACATGTACAACTAATACATTTTGCTCTTTCTGAATACATACAAGTTTTAATTTTACCTAGTCGATGAAATCTGTTATTTGTAACTCCACAGATAAATTCCTAGAAGGCTATTTAAATTAGTATGCCCATTTATAGAAGCTTTAGCATATACTTAGATGCATTCCTTGCACATAACATTTAATCAGTAACAAATTGCCCCAGAGTTTGTAGTTTCTTTGTAGGCACTGGAGATTTACTAACATTGCAGTAAATACCACCATATAACTATAAACGTCTTAAAATTGTAATACTCAGTAAACGTGTTGGAATGCCTCTAGCTTTCATTTTCACCAGCCTTTTCACAACCTCTTTCAAAACTTAGCTGAAGATTCACACTCTGACAATCCCACGTGATGCACCTCACGCCATCCTGAGTTCCTCTTATGTTTCTACTCTGGCAGCACTTCCGACCTTCCTGTACCTGGGTGGTTGTTCTATTTGATGATGTTTCTAAATGTCTACATATTTTATATCATCGGTTAGATGGTGATATAAAACCAAGGATTTATTTCCTTAGTTTTTCCTGTCATAGTTCTCCCTAGGATACTGTAAATCAGTTTCTTCTCTAGGCCCCTCAGGGACTTGGAAGCCAGGCTCCCATCGCTCTAGAACAAATTTCGGATTTGGAAAGAAGAGGGCAGAGGACGATGAGAGAGAATGGGGCAGCGTCTATTCGGTGGTCCGCGGTCACCAGAATGTCCCTTGCGCCATCCCACTCCCCAGTTCCCGTGATGCCTCGGCTAGCACTGAGGCTAGGCAGCACGTTTCACATGCACATCAGCAGCTGCCATGTACCAGCTTCTTCCCTCCTACAGATGCCTTCACTGTGCCTTTTAGTGAGATTTTACTTGTTTAAAATGGCAGTAGGAGGATGGGCAAGTGAATAGAGGACTCATGCAGTGTAACCGTCCATGGGATTTTGGTTCTTCTGGACGTGGTCATAACTTTTATGGCACCTCATACAGTATTTAGTGAGTCTCCAGTAAAGAGGATTGACTAACTCATGGCCCTGTGGATATGGACAATCTGGAGAAGTAAAACAAAGTGAAACATTTTATGGTGACGCTGAAAGTATTGGGTTTTGTGGGGTTTTTTTTTTAATTTTATTATGTTATGTTAATCACCATACATTACATCATTAGTTTTTGATGTAGTGTTCCATGATTCATTGTTTGCATATTGGATTTTTATTTTATTTTATTTTAAGATTTTATTTATTTGACAGAGACACAGTGAGAGAGGGAACACAAGCAGGGGGAGTGGGAGAGGGAGAAGCAGGCTCCCCACTGAGCAGGGAGCCCGATGCGGGGCT